CACGTACCAAATTATTATTTTATCAATATTGCAGATCATCAATTGGAAATCACAGGTCAAGTCAAATCTCATGAGAATATGTAATCCCCATACAATTTTTTAGTTAACTCTACCAAAATATTCTTTTATCATTATGTTAGACTGTCAATCCTTGTAATCATTGATCAAATCGATCCTTATGAGAGCATTGTTCTAAAAATCCCCGCTAGCGTCGTCTAGGTGTTAGGCCATTGACCACCGCCCAATTAATTCCAAGACATTTGGAAATTAAAAAAGGAGACCGCCTATGCACCTGCCTAGTCCGCCCAGTCTCGTCTAGGTGCCTAGGTCGCAACTCTTACTTAAACAGAAAATAGATAACTTTCATTTTGCATTATGTTCTAATGCTTTATAATATATATGTCATTCTATTTTGCAATTTATGTATCCCAATGCAATTATGTATTTTTAAGTATAAGCAAACACTTATGTATACAATATATAATAAATTTACTTAAATCCGCCTAGTCCGCCTAAGGCCCCCGCCTAGGTTCCACCTAGCTGCCTAGGTGCTAGACCCCAAGCATCACTCGACTAGTGCCTAACGTTTTTTAAAACCTTGCATATGAGTGTGTTTGGGCCCAAAAATATTGGTTTGGGCCGAGTTTAGAATTGTTCTCGGCCCAGAGGCCATGTTTAGGTGTCGTTGGGGGTTATCCAGCTCATGGGCCGCGCAGTCGAAGTTGGCCATGTCCCATCCGGAACCAGTAGGATATGGGTGAGTCCTATTACGAGAAGGAGTTTCGACATGATAAGGATGTTAGAGTTTGAGATTGAATGCGGCCTGATAACGAGTTAAGTTCAAAGTCCTAGTAGGAGTAGGACTGGCCGAGATAAGGTTGGATCGGGGAAAAGAGTTCTAATCCGAGAATGATTGTGATTCAATACAGGTTGGCTACTATAAATAGGGGAGGGAGGACATCGAACAAAGCCCCTCCAATTCAACACACAAATGGCCCTGCGCAAACCCTCGCTCTACGCGAAACCTCTCAACAACCTTAAGATCTTTGTTTTCCTTTTTCGCCAACACATCTTCAGTTTAGATAAACAGCACCGTGAAGGCAACCGGCGAACATCTTCAGTTTGGATAAACAGCACTGTTACTGTAGAATCAATCGACCGTGGAGCACCTTCAGTTTGGATAAACAGCACTGCGACAGGGCCAACCGGTTATCTATCCAAGTCTTGGTGGAGAAGGATTTTCGAATCCTTATTGGCAAATGTCATCTCATTAGCCTTCTCAGCGAAATGAGGTGTTACAAGTTACATTTGGCACATTGAACGCCGAGTTGTTTATGATCGGTTATTCGCAAGTAGGTTTTAGAGTTCAGTATTCTGATGACCGAACCACTTTCACAATCAAGACGTACATTTGTTTTGAGTATTTGTGTCTTTATACTCTAGTGTCGATTCGGCGTGCTTATACTTTCACAAACATAATCACCGTGACCGAATCCGGCATCGACGATTTGTGAACTTCGCATAATTAGTAGCTTTGTCTTCAAGCTCTAAAACCTGAAGGCCGAGACGTGTTCCTTCCTCGACCGCAGTCGCAAGATCGAGAAGTCAGCCGCGCGCTCAACGCAACATCAACACATTTTACTCCTCGGCCGAGTTGGCACGCCCCGCAAGCAACCGAATGACATAGTTAGCTTATTAGTTACTCGGCATACACACCACGTAGGCTTAGTAGTTTTTAGGGTCAACAGAGTGTAATACATAAAAAGCTTGACCACCAAACCTAACATGTGATAACCCAAGATGTCCTTTTTAACATGTGATACTATATGAACTTCGACATTATATTAGTTGGTGGTTGTTTTTGATGAATTTTTCATGCTTTGAAATGATTAGAGCAATGAGTGATTGGGCTTGACGATTTGGGGGTGCATTTGCGTGGTTGATTTGGGTTAAATGGTTGTGTCGGGGTACTAATTATACACAATGTTCATATGATGATTTGATTCATTTCAACTGATACTTCTTGCATGATTTGACATAGCTACGTACGTGTGCCGTGGTATTACGGCCACATGATCAATGCTTAAACAGAAATTGCATGTCCATGGATTTAAGTTGTAGTACACGAGTACTGCCTGTGGAACTTTATATAGATATGAGTACTTACTCTCTACTCACAACAGAGACCAGAAATATGAAACATATATACGGGTCCAAGATTATGTGTAAATCACCACCTCATTGAGGATGTACCTTTTCAACTTGTTAAGAAAGTACCATGTACCCTATTGGAATAGTAAAAAATATTGTAAGGTCTCAAGGACAATCGATGATGATGATGATATATCGTAGTTTTGATTTCACCTAACGTAATTAAGATGAAATCATAGATTGATCTTTGATCAAAATAGAGTTGCACATATTGTACTGTACAAATGCAATGTAATTTATACATTATAAGGGAGAGAAATTCAGGTTTATTGGCTTAGATTAGAATATCGTTTGTACAAAAAGAATGGCATAGATAATAGATTATGTAATAAATTAAGTTGTTTAATGATTTATCATTATACGTATTATTAGCATAGCAAATCAGGTTCAAAGTGAACTAAGAATATTATAATAAAACCAAACACGATAACATTATTTAACGAATGAAATTTGATGTTCCTAGCAGTATTTGTTCGTAAATTTGAAGTGGACATTCAAGAAGAGAGCTTAGGCAAAAAAAAGACTCTTAATTTAAGTGCATAGAATTGTCATTTTTAACATGCAATGTTGTAGGGTAAAGTCACATTTATTAGAATATCAAGGCACCATATAATCGTGGACCAAGCACAATAGGAACCGTTGCTGGATGGGCCAAGATCGATTGATCATATAATGGTTGGGACCCCATGATGAAATGTCTAATATAAGTTGGTGTTCAATGCAACATTGCAACCACTACCTCATCATATAGATTGGAGGATCACTTATCTAATTCTATTTCAAGTTTTGCTGTCACAATATCTAACTAGATTGAATATCTTTTGTTGTTTGATTAACAATGTAATAATTCAGTTTTGAATCAAAATACTAAGTTGATTTAGGGTTGGTTTGGTATTACTTTGCTTTGAAAAAAAAATATTTTTGTTGTGCTGTGAGAATAAACTCATTTTTACTGTTTCGCGTTTTTAGTTTTTTTTTTTTCATCCAAAACTATGAAAATAAGCTGTTTTTAAGTATTACCAAACTAGTACTTACTTATTTGATGTTACTTAGATGACTACAAAATTTCCTAAAAGTCATAAACCCACTTGTATGATGAAATCGGGATGAGAGAAAGTGGAAAAGGAAGGTACAAAATGGAAGGTACCTTGCACTCAGCAATTTTTAACTACACATTCTCTATTATATATGATAGCAACTTATATGTCATAGATACACCGTTAAATATTAGAAATTTTAACGAAAAGTTTTTGATACTGTTTATTTTAACGAAAAAATCATATTTTTATATTAAAAAATTAATCTTGGTACTATTTACTTTACCCTTTATTTTATTTTTATCGTTAAAATATATAGTTTTCAAATTATTTTCATTAGTTTTCCTTTAAATTTTTTGTGTCCATCATTCAATATTATTATATATATATATTGCTTACCTGTCATACAATGCGATGCAAGATAATAATTAATATTAGTGCATGCAGCAGCGTGGACCATGCGGTGACGATGCTGCAAACCCTTACTGATTGCCACCTCATCCCCCTAATTATGAGAAATTTTTCATTGTGATAAGAACACGAATGGTACATCACATTTTTTTTATAAAAATGATGAGAAATTTTATTTTTTAAGTTATTAACTTTTTAACACATATATCCTACTATTTTTATAATAACACATGATGTATTATCTCGTGTACCGACCACACAAAAAAATTTCTTCTTAATTATATACCACACGTACTTTCAACAAAACCATCCTTATCTCCTCTCTTCTTTTCTCTGTTTTTTTCTCTCCTTTAGCTTTTGGAAAATTTTCCTAACAACCAAACACAAATTAAAATAGCAAATTTGATCATAAAAGAAATGACAAGAATGTCGCTTTGTATGCACACACTTTTAGAGAAATTCTCGAAAACTTAACATATTACGTTGTTAGATTGTTGAGATTAGCCTTGCAAAACGATATTAGAGTTTGTTACGTCTTTAGGTATGTGGCTGGACAACATAATGCACTATATATCTATTGACTCAAGGGATTAACTTGGTAAAGAAAGGACGATATAGAGGAAGAGAATGCAAGCTCTCCAACAATCCCCAGCCATATACATTCAGAGGAATTTTTCTGTTGAGATTAGTAGCTTATACTGGCTTTACGGGTTAACTGAACGTAGTCCATCAGGATTAAATTAACCCTAATTTATCAAACCCCACTACGCAAGGGGTACTGCCCCACTTGGTTTCCTTTTTTTCTTCTTCAATCCAATGCGTAAAGAAAGTTGAAGTTCCATCGTAAAACCAATCGGCAATATGAAGAGTAGCCTAATTTCTTATAAGTCCTTGCATGATTTGGTCATTCACTGATGTAGGACTTTGGTACTCACATTCTCATAATGCGTCTCTGGTTCATACCATTCTCCCCGCCTTTAGTGTAGTTTAGAGTAAGAATATCACAAAACAAACCCCTAATTCTCAGGACCAACCCGGAAAGGAGGTGGACAAAGAGGAAGAAGATAAGGGATAAATGAACAGTGAAACATGGGTGAAAAACTGGTAAAGATATCAGACTATGAAATAAATGGCTTGCATGGTGGTGCTAGATGAAGGGGACCCCATTGTACCATACTACCATTGCTCTAAAGTAGTGTGACCATCTCTCTCTCTCCTCTCTCTCTCTCTCTCTCCCCTTATTTCTTGTTTGTCACACTCACACTCTCTCCCACCCTCATTCTCTATAAATGTTGTATGACTCATCGGGAAAGATATCAAATACAAAAAAGGAAAAAGATTGAAACTTCTCCTCCATAACTAGCATGCTCCCATTTCCTTTCCTCTGCTAAAGAAAACCAGTGCTACACTCTTTCACAACAAAATACGCTAAGTCCTTTTCTTTGAGAGATTTCCACAAACACTTACAAGGCACCCATTAGCAATGAGCGCTGATCAACCCCAGAGTTCAGAAACTGAGAGCAGCTCCAACTCGTCCGCTTCCGCATCGCCTCCTTCCTCGCCTTCCTCACTCCAAACCCAAAACCCACAAAAACCCAGCTCGCCAATTCACCAAGGAATCGACACTCCCTGCAAAAAAAATGCCAAACGGGTCAGAGACTCCAGCAAACACCCGGTTTATCGGGGGGTCCGAATGAGGAACTGGGGCAAATGGGTATCCGAAATCCGCGAGCCTCGCAAGAAATCGCGCATTTGGCTCGGCACTTTTCCGACTCCTGAAATGGCCGCCAGGGCCCACGACGTCGCCGCTTTGAGCATCAAGGGCAACTCAGCGATTCTCAACTTCCCAGAGTTCTCCGACTTGCTGCCTCGCCCGGTTTCAAACGCCCCCCGCGATGTCCAGGCGGCCGCCAGCAAAGCCGCCGAAATGCACCAATTCGACTCCATCCCGTCAATGTCGGCGTCCCCCTCGTCGCTGTCCTCGCTGGTCTCGGCCATAGACAACTTGTCGTCCGAGTCGGAGGAGCTGAGCGAGATCGTCGAGTTGCCGAGTCTGAGTTGCGAGTCGACCGAGTTGAGAAGCGAGTTCGTGTTTGTGGACTCGGAGGACCAATGGGTTTATCCGCCGCCGTGGCTGCCGCGCGTTGGGGAGTTCGAATGCAGTGAGTTGGGTTCGGCGAGTTCAGTTGGGTTTGAGTGTTTGTTATGGGATTATAATTAAGTAGCACATCTTACCGCACTCGTACGTAATTGACTCTTTTCATTTTATTATTTATTTAAATATATTTGAAAAGATAATGAACTTACTAATCACTCGCAGTACCACTTCACTCCTCTGTATATAGTTTAGCAGTTTCTGCTAATTAGGTGTTAATTAATTAAGAGTTTGTAAGTGTGAGCTTTCTTTGTTTATTTTAGGAGTTTTCAGTGTTTTGGCTCTTCGGATTTTTACTGTGAAGGGCCTAAATTCTGATCATCTCTCACTCGTTTCCTTTTTTACGTTGTACTCTGCTTTTGTGTAATTGTACAGTTTGGTACTCTACTGTTTTTAGGATGGAAAGCAAATGCCACGAGACGTTTTCTTTCCTCTTTGGTTGCCAACTTTGGTGCAAATAGAATAAAGCCTTTGTCTTTCTCATCTACTTTTCTCATCAAACTATTTGTACCCACAACTGCCTTCATTCCATACTCATTTCTTGGAATTCTTGTCCTAACTTGCAAATTCATTGAGTTTCTGATATACGAATGCTGAAACGCCACCGGTTTCTTACGCATTTTGGTCCATCGCGGAGGCAATCCTTCTTGTAACCGCGAATGTATCTCGTCTGTTTTCGTAACACTCGTCGCGAGACTCTGTTATTGGAGTGCTACAGGAACAGGGTGATCCGTTCACTCCCTTACTGTACAACTTCATCACGAGGCTCTGCGACTCGAGTGCTATAGGAAGCGCCGGATTATTCAGTATGTTTTTACAGCACTCATCACAAGACCCTGTTTTTGGAGTGTTGTATGAAGGACGTTCTTGTATAAAAATTATTATCTCCTTTTCGTTGGAGTGTTGTATGAAAAACAGACGATATCTCCGGACGTACGAGAGAATTCTTTAGTTGGGTACTCGAATTAAACAAACACCATGCAATTAAGAACAAGTCCAAGGGAAAAATGGGACTGGTGATGCAAGTCTAGTACCAATCGAACCCACGAAGGGTCCTCCTCCACATGAATAATACAATAATAAGAACAACAACAACAGTGACACTACGGAGAGTTGAGACACTCCAGTTCTTGAAAGAGAGATTTTATGAATGTTTGGTGGTGTGAATTTTTGGCAGATGCATGCTTGCTAGAATCCAGATGGTGAAACATGATGAGCTGTGAATGGGACAATGACAGTGATAGTTAAATATTTTACCATATACGGAGGCAACAGCAATTGGTCTGGTTTCAGCTAGTTTTTCTCCTTCCTCCTTTAGAACTTATCTGCGTCGATCCAATCCTTTTGCAATTCATGACATTTAGTTTTTGACCTCTGTTCTGTTTTGTTGTTTTGTGGTGGAAAAATGAAGGCTTTGCCAGAAAAGCCAGAGCCCATGATATTTTCTCTCTTTCTCCTTTGCTGGAGAAGAGACAAATTGGAGACCCAGCTTTGATTTTGAAATTGCAAAAATTCGATTATATCTATATATTTTAGTGTATGACATGCACTAGAGCAGTGACTAGTTCGATATACAGTTAAGGATTCAAATGCTCAAAATCACGCATCTTTCAAGCTGATTTTAGCACACTCTTTTAGCTTCAGGCACTCTTCGCACGGTTGCTACATATTGGGTTATCAAATATTGAGCCTATATATCAAATGGCTAAAAATTTCGGTGTTTACTAAAAAACTTCCAAAAACTGATTTTAGTACACCTCTTTTTAGCTTAAAGCTCTCTTCGCACAGATACATAAAAAATTATCAAATATTCAGTCTAGAAAGCAAATGACTAAAATCCTATAATACCAAAATAAAATAAAAACCACTATCCTTTCGATTTCCAGCTGCAAATAATTATGTTGCTGAAAGTTAGCTCAATTATTTGGCCACAAAACAAACCACAGCTGATATTTACCAATGAATTAGTGATAGATTGCATGGTTGGATGGCATTTTTACGTCCACTATTTCTAAAGTGCATGCCTTCAATTTTCAACCATTTTGGTCCCACGACCTTTTGAAGTTGATTTTTCATGGTTTATATTAACATGGGAAGACAAGTAACACATGTACAATTACCATACATAGGGACTCTCCAGAACCAGAGGGTAATCAAAGGAGTCCCTGCTAGTGAACCAAAAGGCATTTTTCAATGAATAATACTAGGGAGATTAAAATTTTAAACTAAATAATGTGTCATCAATAAAAAAATAAGCAAGTTAATCAACGCTTAAGTGATAATCCAATCATCAATAACCACATCATTTGGCTTACAAAATTCGGTTTAAAAATTTAGTCTCCTTAGCCCCTTTCTCAATTATTGCAGACATTGACCACTTCAATTGTTCTTGTTTCTGGTTCCTGAAATAGCTTTAGCCCTTTGTGGTAATCATTCTTGTTAATTACAAAAGGATAATGGTGGAGTTAGAAAAACATGAGTTTGATACAAGTGAACGACAAAATTGATCAATTAAGAACCGAAGATATATATTGTATATAGAGTTTTAAAAAGTTAGCAAGTTAGCAATTTGATTTCTTTTTATATCAATATTTTCTGTATTGGGGTTTTGCATTAACCAACAGGATCCTCTCCAGATTCTTTTGGTGACGATTTTGGAAATCCGTAAATCGTGTCAGTACATTGTACATCGTGGATTCAGTTTTTGTCTGGTACTGTTTGTATTTAATTTTAAATACAAATATTTAAAATGATTTCTGACCGTACGACGTACAATGAATATATATGATTCACGAATTTCTAGAATCCTCACAAAGAAAATTCGGCGAGGATCTGGATTCTTGCATTAAGACAAGGATTAAGATTACTTTCCTTTTTGTTGTTAGGATTTATGATTGCTTTCATGTTTTTCAAGATTAGGTATATAAATACATTTCTTGTAACTCTTTCGAAATAAAGTCTTGGCAAGTTAGAAAACATGAGTTATGATACAAGTGAACAACGAAATTGATCCGTTAAGGATCTAAGGTATTGTGTTAATAGAATGTTAAAAGTTAGCAAAGTTAGCAATTTGGTTTATTTTTATATTAAATTTTATGTACTAGATAGGGTTTATGATTGCTTTCCCTTTTGTTTCAAGATTTGGTACTAATAAATACATCTCTCGTCTTGACAAATAAATATGTACATATAATTTCTTTTCTCTCAAGATAATAAAAATCTATTTAAAGGTTAGCAAATTAGTTTTTTCTTCTTTTTTCATCATTTGGAACCATACACGGTGTCACATGTAAAATTCTCGCACTGCGGCCTGCAGGGTTTTGATTTAAAGTAAAACGGTACAATAATAATGCAATAGAAAAAGAAATCATAAGATCTTCAACGTATATCACAAAATCATTAGGGTTGGATAAATACAAAAAATAATTAGTTAGTTATATAGATTAATTATTAGGCCAAAGACGAAAGCGTGTAAACTACAATACGTACCTAACAATATTTATTAATTATTAGATTTTATTTTCTATTTTTCAATGATTACTTCATGCTCTGGTATGTAGGATTCGTGATCTAATACATGATTAAAGCTGCCAATATAAAATCAAGCGGTGGGAGAGGATGAGACAAGTTAATTAATTAAATTATTTATGATCAGAATTATGCAAAAGCATTACAGTGACGTTTTAACCCCTATTGCTGGTTTCATTTTTATGGACAAGGATTGTCTGCCTTCCCATTTTCAATGTCATCTTGTTTTGTGTGATAACGGTTAAGTTATGTCAATATTTTATATATTTTTTTATAAAGATAATAAGATAAAAATAAATAGTAATATAAAATATTTACGTGTCTTATCTATGACCACATAAACAAGAAAGTACGGAAAAACACCGGAAGTAGGATGGCAGACAATCTTTATCCCATTTTTATTGATAGCTTGTTGGTGTCTGCAATAATCTGCATGGCTACCAGACTTTCAAACACGATCGTCAGGGTTTAGTTTATGTTGTTAAATACCCTATGCCATGTCGTACATGACGGTTGAAACATGCATATTATAGAATATTTTTGCTTACTACTCTCTAGTGATGATAATATTTACTATCTTATTTATTATTGTTGAATAAATTTAAATTTGAGATGTGTGTAATGATCGAATAAACACAAATTTCAAAATTTAAATTCATCCAATCTAATAGTAGTAAATCAGGTAGTGCATATTATGGCTAGTGGATTATGCAAAAATGCACTCCGCATATTAATACTTCTAATTAAACCAGGAATTACTACTTGGGTGGTTCCATTACTATAACTAAAAAGTATAATGAGAACCTAGGTTGATATAATGGACTTGGATTGTCTGCCCTCCCATTTCGGTGCCCTCCTCGTGCCCTCCTGTTTGTGTGGTCACGGTTAAGCCACGTCAACATTTTATATTATTATTTCTTTTTGTTTTATTATTTTTATAAAAAAACAATATAAAATGTTGACGTGGCTTAACCGTAACCACACAAAATAGGAGGGTACGGGGAGGACACCAAAATGGAAGGGCAGACAATCCAGGTCCTGATATAATGATTCTACAACATCCAAGTACTGAACTAATCAATTTTAAAAAGTGATATGTACGAGTGTCTAATCAGTTTAGCAATTGAAATTTAGTTTTCATCATTTAATCAATTTGTTCAATTAAAATTGACTATGATATTTTATAAACATGTGATATTTGTATTAGTCCTTTTCATTACTATAATTACAATTTGACCACGAGGCCTTATGATCATGTGCAATAGTTGTTAATTAGAATATGCAAGAACATTAAACTAACTGACAAAACGGGAAGAAGCCGAGGATCATTTATGTCACATCCCGGCCGGGGCGAATCACTTTTCGAGCTCGTTTCATCATCGTATCACGATATTATCCGTTTTGGGCCCCGATTATGTCCTCACGGTTTTGTTTCTGGGAACTCACGAGCAACTTCCTAGTGGGTCACCCATCATAGGAGTGCTCTGGTCATCTTCTCGCTTAACTTCTGAGTTCCGACAGAACCCGAAGCCAGTGAGCTCCCAAAATGCCTCGTGCTAGGTAAGGATGAGAATATACATTTAAGGATCACTCCCCTGGGCGATGTGGGATGTCACAATTTAAAC